ATTCCACTAATCATAATATGGAACCCATTTGCATGGTATTATTAAATGCACGCAGGAGATAGCAGCATTTTACAGTTGTAAGCCAGAAGTGCAATTCCATAATGGTTCTTGCCGTAGATGGCAAGTGGGGAAGACACTGGTTCCTAACGCCTCGCAAAAACAAATCTGTAGAATATACTGTATTCGAGACAATTTTAATGTATCAATAATCTTCCAGTTACTAGAAATCAATCAATCACATCTCAATCTAGTATATACAGTTACAAATCATGATTAATATAACATTATGCAACCGTGCCAAGTCATTTCCCTTTAGCAATACATGTATAACACAAACTCTATTCTATGAAATTCTATTCTTCTATTCTAGGAAAAGAACATGCTCCAGGCACTTCCAATGAACGATCGTTTCTTTCTAATCGGCAGACCGGCTAATCCGACAGGTCGTATTTCTCTTGTCTCGACAGTTATTGTAGTAAACGTCGTCTCGGTAGTAGTAGTAACAGCACTCGCATTGATTAAAGTAATGAAGTCAAATATGAAAATATGAAAATGGGTAGTTAGTGACTTGGAGATGCTCTCTACCCTGTGTCTTTTTCTTGACCTCTGATGTAATAATGTAATAGTAAAGTTTTTCACAACAGCAGGTAGAAGTTTGGTAACGACACGATCCAAGTTTATTAGAAAACTTCGTCTATTATTACCCGTTTCTGTTTCACGGGCAACACGAATCAGTGAGGTATTGAAGTCATCTATTAATATATCATTGAAATGGCCACAGACTTTTTTAGCATTAGAATAATGCGCACATTGGCAAAATTTACGGATTTTTGCGAAAGAGAAAGTTTGGTTAAATCTCTTGACATCACTTTGCAAATAGTTAAACGAGTTTTTTAATTAATCATATCATTGTACTGCTGTACCATCTACAGATAAATGTGTACAATACTGTATCAACATGGAAACGTGTTGATTATAATCAGCCGTAACTTGATACCCTTTTACGTTTAGTGTCAGAAATTTCGCTAGAAAGACACGTCGGCGGGATTAGCCGTGATGATTTTAAAACAATTGGCAGCGGCGTGGGAAGATGCTTGGTTTAATTTGGATGCACATCTCATTGGCAATATGAAAAAGGTTGTTAAAAGAGGATATTATGTATTCTTCCTGAACATAGCGACAGAATTATACAGAGTTTCGATCAGATTTATGAATAGAAATCACCAAGCATAAATTGATACCGTGTTGACTCATGGTCAGTAGATTAAGCATATTGTCGTTTAATTGCCACATGGCCTTATTCTTCGTACGGATATACCGACAACAACAGAGTTACGAAACTCGTCGATTATGAGGTCAGAGCCAATAGTCACAGACAGTAGTCATACAAACACTACAATTCCAAGACAAAAGCTTATTGGCTTTATGTTATCCACGGCTGACTCAAAAAACGTATTCAATTATATCTTTCAAGAACCATACAGAGCGAATCCTCTCTAACCGGATGTGTCAGCGCGCAGGAATTCATAAGCATTGCAAAATTACTTACTAGTGGGGCAAAAGCGTTATTGCCAAAGCAAAAAGTTACGAGTGTTACGAGAAATATTCCGTTAACAATATTAATAGTGATTTTGTTTTTGAAAAGTCAATACTAATACGGATAGCAATCAATTTATTACGGAAAAGTGCTACCAAGACGTAAACATAATCAAAAGTTACTCGATAACAACTCTTTCGTTCGCAAAAACCTGTGATTTTTTGCTTCCTTGTTAGATCCAGTTTATGAAACGAAGATAATTGACAGATTTCTTTAGATAACATTGATCATTTATTGCTACAAAAAGTATGACCTTGCGTATGACTATGACTGTGTCAATCCAAAACTAGTACTCTTTACTCATGCTAGATTTGGGTGCTGTAAATAGTACGTACATAATAATAATGATACATGTAGAGTATAAAGACATTAGATTTGTCTCACCATGACTTAATATCAAGAATAACTGAACAATATCGTTCAGGGAGAATTCAGCGTGGACTAAAGCCACAATAATTTAAATAAAATCACATCAGCAAAATGACTACGCTTGATTGTCGTTCAAGTACAATGTTATGTGATCAAACGCTCACGGTGTCGTCCTCATTCTTTCGCTGCTCAAACAGTTCGATCGCTTTTTCATTACCATTTTCATTATTATTATTATTAGCTTTGGAATACTTCCTTCCGTAGAGGCCATAGATAACTAATCCAATTGCCATCCAAATAAACAGACGCTCGATACTACTACGCGGGCAAGTAGCTATCAAAAAAAGATTCATTATAGACCCAAGAACCGGCACAAAATACGTTCCGCCAGGGGCACGGAATCCTCGAGGTATGTGAGGAGCCTTGATACGGAGAATTAGTACACCGATATTAACTAGGAAGAAAGCGAAAAGTGTACCAACAGAAGTGAGATCGGCAAGAACGTCTATAGGCAGAATTGCAGAGCCAATCGCTGCAACAGCTCCGGTTATTATTGTGGTAATGTAAGGTGTTTTAAAGCGTGGATGAATTTTGGAGGCTGCGGCGGGGAGGAGACCGTCTCTAATTGTACCGATGGAGAAAGAGATGAGAAAGACAAGGTGGGATTAGAATTTTTTTTTTTTTTTAGATTACAAAAAAACAATAATATAAAGTATATTTACTGGGCCATTATGTAGAATATGCGTGGTTGAGACATGAGCGAAATGAGTATCACTGATGTAAGACCAGCAAGTGCACCGAGATCAACTATAATCGTAAGCCATCGCATTCCAGTTGCCTGTATGGCTACGGCTATTGGTGCTGCTGTATTCAATTCGGTATAATTCACTACTCCAGTCATTACCAATCAATTTTATTCCTCTCTTTTGTCATAACAACCTTGCATACTTAATTATACCACATAGACAGATCATGTCAAAAG